TATTAATCAAGTTTCTTGATGAAATAGGACTCACCGATGTGTTTTAGGCAGAGAACGGGGGATACAATAGCTCTTAAAGGGCGCAGTATACCATGAAAAATTACATCTACATCTACAACCGGCATGTATCGGCTGATGTCAGACAAAATTTCCATGTGTATTTTTAGTTTTAAAGTTTATTATTAAATCCTTTAGTGTTAAAGAGAACAACCCCCATTATTCAAGTGAACATGCTTGATGCTGATTTGGGAATAGTCGCCTTAGAATTCTATGTTTCTTTAGTAATTGAAAACCTGATGCGGACGTGCGATACCAATCGATATAAGTAAAGATCGAGTTTTTTTTAGATACCGAGTACTTTTGGTATCGAATATTGTCATTCGAAACAAGTACTTTATCGAATACGTTTTGTAATATCGGAAAATATACTCAAATCGATTTTTCTTTGAATGTTCAAGTAATATTGAATTGTTTTTTACTGTTCGAATTACCTCTCATCAAACTGGGAATGTGTCAACAAAGTTAATCTAGGTTTCGAATTGGTAGGTGGTAACTCATAATTCTTTCCCGCGTCGCACCTTGCACTTTCAATTTCAGTGATTTCTTATAAAATGCTTTTGTCTTCAAGTATCTAAAAACTGTTCGCCTTCCTACTGATAGGTATATACCAAAACATGTCTCCTCTCAAAAGTAAGGCTTGCGGTTATTTTACTAAGAACACTGAATCGTCGGCTTCTTGTAAACTATGCGGGAATACGTCTAATCTTTTCAAACATTTTCCGTTGATCAATTTTTTTCAAAACTCGTTAAAGATAAAATTGAAATATCCATTTTGTTGAAATATGTTGACAGCTTTTCCTTGTTCTTACATACGTGCCCACTGAATGAAAAAATACACTTAAAAATATGAAAAAACTGCAAATTTCTGTATATTTAAACGCGTGAGCGTATTTAACCCACAAATCGATGGTAAGTAAGTTGATCATTTATGAATAAAAGACAAAGTATTTATTAAGTACTCGTTAGTAACGAATAATTTCTGGGGATACTTGAGTAGTATCGAATATATTTTTCGGTACTAGTATCGAGTACTGGTATCTAATATTTGCTGGTATCTCACGTCACTACGTCAAGAGACTAGGCTATTCCCTCGAAGCCTCCTGATGACTTTTTTAGAGCTCACCCTTACATTACGGACAGCTTGGAGTTGACTACCTTGAAGTAGCCGTTAAATGACGGTTCCCAAGAACGCTAAGAGTAATAAAACGGTCGTCTCTACCCGTCGACATCGTGGATTGGCTATGTAACAGAACGATATCTTCTTGACTTAAGACCATTAAATCATCTTAGATATGAATCCTCTTGTAAAGAAAAATCAATAGAAATTTTAATTACTTCAAAACTTAAAATATTGCTTTATGAAACCAAGTTTGTCCACATTTTCAATAAGAGCATTCATTTTTCTTGGGGCCTTCAAATATTCGAAGCGGCCTGAAAGTTCGTCTCAGAATGCCTTGCATCCATACCTAATAGTGGATACTGCAGGTTATAAGAAATTAAATTTTTACCGTTCGTGGTCCGATTGACCAAATAACAAATTTTTCAATTCATTAACCTTTATATAAGGCATTGATTGAGATAAAGCGTCAGTGTCACGAGCGGGATTCGAACCCAGGACCCTCGGATAAATACGCCGCTTCTCTATCACTTGAACAATCGTGACTTCGATCCACTCGGACACCAACTTCCTATCTCTAATGAATTTAAGAAGTAAAATAATGTATAACTTTACGAAAGCTCTCCGTGGCCATTTCATTTGTCGCCGACAATCGAATAAATTACACGACATTTGAAAAATGCCCAAAAGGAGGGAAAATTCTTAAGGTGGGGTTGAGATGGTAGAGGAGCGGCGTATTTATCCGAGGGTCGGGGGTTCCAATCCCGCTCGTGATACTGAATTTTTTATCTCAACCAATGTCTTATATAAAGATTAATTAATGGATAAGAAATTAATTTAAAACTATCACTTTTTCATGTTGTGTCGGTAGTGCGCTATTACATATTTACAGTGTCGGGTAAATATTTTTTTCTCATACCTGGTACCTGATTTACTGGCTTAAATGTGAGGAGATTTTTTGTGAGGAAATGTCTGATTATGATATAAACTGGAATTCTTTCCTGCTTACATAGGTGCCAGTTCTGCAGTATAAAGTCTCTTTTTGTTCTGTAACGTCAGTTTAGAATGTCTGTCTAGTGGAAACAAAATATACAAGGAAATAAACGAAATTCTTTAGAAACTTCATTTTATATGAATTTATTTTAGAACAAAACATTATCTAATCCTCTTAGTCTAGTTAATAATTTAAAAAATCCTATATTTTCTATAGTATTTTATTTTATTATATCGTAAGAGAAAAATCAGTTATTGATACATGAAAGGAAAACAATTAATAATTAGCTATAATGCAAAAAAATAATAAAATAAACTAAAGAGTGGAAAGATATTTCTACAAATAAAATAGAAAAACCAGTGCAAAATTCGTAATTAATTAAATGATCATCAGACAAAGCTGTTAGGAAAGAACGAACCAATGCCGACACTGATTTATGCATAAGATGGTAAAATTATATAATAATATGTAATATAATAATTACATTATATATTATAATTATATAAGAACGAATTAATACCGACACTGATTTATGTATAAGATGGTAAAATTATATAATAATATGTAATTTAATNACAATTTTTTTTGGCCCCTGGTTTTCACCATTACAAAGTACTATATATAACAATTATATAATAAATAAATAACGTTTGAAAAAAAACCTTTGTCACCGCAATACATTGCTAGCCTGTATAATACGGGCGACAAGTGACGTTAAAAAAATGGGGCAAAAAAGAAAACAAGTTGGGTAAAACTATCTGATTGTCGCAGGACCAAGTCTATCCGTTATCTGGGGAATTGTCAATCCCACGCTCGGGGATGTAGGCTTCTCGTTATCTTATCCGGACCCTCTTACACATTGCAAAGTCAATCTTTTACGGTGAAATATACGGATTTGATTCTGACGGGGGTTTCGACACGATAAATAATTTGTTTTTGTTTTTTTAGGGAAATACGAAAATTCACACAACCTTACAATTTTGTGTAATCTGATATAAAATACCACTCACTTTCACAATTTAACAGTTTGCCTAATAATCAACGATATTTTGTTCCTTGGATTAAATGATATATATACATGGCTTAAATATTAAGCGTACAGTTAGTAAAATAATTATAATCAATATACTATTATGTATAATAAAAATGTAATCAATCGAATTTATTTCGAGTTATATCTCAAAATTTATCAAGTATTTGATATTTCTAAATGTTTTAATGTTTTTATAGGTTTACTTATATTTCACCTGACATGTTTTTGTTACTGTGTGTGTTACAATAATATACAATACTAAAAATTTGGCGTCCTAATAAAACTGTCAAAAAAAAGAAAAAAAAAAGGAAATTTAGTAAATACAATTACACCTATATTCTATTCATCGCAATAATCATTGAACAAATCTGTCCCTATTACAACATTAAGTTTTTTATGTGTTTTAATGCAAATGCGTTTAGTGACCGTTAGTTAATGATTATTTGGAGAGAGTGAGATGCGGTCTGGTGTGACGTAGGTTTTAGAAAAACATTTTCTTTGTCGTGCCGACGTGTCGAACTTTATTGACATCATCTTTTTTTCACATCCTACATGTACTTGTAAAATGTAAACAATGTTTATAGATCCTCGTCCCCTGAAGATGATCTCAATAAAGATCGAAACGTTGGCACGAAAAAGAAAATGTTTTTCTAAAACCTGCGTCACACCAGACCGCATCTCACTCTCTCTAAATAATTATGTGTTTTAAGTTTTTATGTGTTTATCAAAACGACTTTTTTTATGTTTACAACATAAAATGCGAGCTTGATTTTTTTCTAGTGAAGATTTGATCTTTCTTTATTTATTGTTAAAATGATTACCATTATTTCATTTTATTTTATTTTTAATTTCTGATCCTTGGTGCTAAGTCATATTCCTTAGATTTTTAAATACTGATACCTCTCCATGTTACTTCTGTTATCAAGTCTTGCTAACCTCGCTATACATGTCTGTTAGGGATTTTTCCATGTTTACTGTAGGGTCTGTGCATTTCTGTCAAGTAAAGCCGCATTTACATTATGAATTGCATGTATCTTTGAACCCCCACCATTGGAGGAATAATTCTATGCTGTTTATTATTGTTCCGGCCAGACTTTGTGATCGTCGGCCCTTTTTCTGTTCAATTGGTTGTATTTTGAAAAGTGAACACTTGAAGGAACTGTTGTCACTCCTTGGCTTTATGATTTTTTTAAGTGTTAAATGTGTTATGTTTGTATTTTTTTGGAGTATGTCCATTTTTTTAGTTACGATTATTTTGTTATAGGAAGATGGTCATCTATGTGTGCTATTTTTTATATTATTTTTACCGATTCCGACGGTCTTTTTTTTTTGGTTAAATTGTTTTTAAGTTTTATCTAGCAGTCAAGGTCTCTAAAAGCTAAAAATGTTTTGCATCATTTAAAGAACGTTTGTAAAAATTACGGTGTAATTATCAGTTATGAATTATATCTGTCAATTTATGATGTTTGGTTTTAATTGTGTAATCACATTTTGTAAAAATTTAACCTACAATTAAATTTTTGAACTTGTTCTTTTAGAAAAATGATAATGTTTATAACTAACATTAATAAATTAAAAACACTAACTGAGCATTTTTAACGATCTTAGATTGCATTTTTATAGAAATGTTCTAGTATAATTTAATGTAAGCCCAGTTAATTATTAACCTCATAATACTTACACAATTACTTGTCTCAATCATCATTTATAATGAATACAAGCCAAGATTTGGAAAATAAAATCATAAGTAAAGATGAAAACATATTTATAATAAATAATAAATGTAATCGACATACCTGTTTGAATTCTTTCCTGAAGTTGTCATTGAGCCAGGCATAGAGTATTGGATTGTAGCATGTCGACGACATAGCGATAGCGTGGCCGAGAAAGAAACACAGATTGTAGTACTGCCAGAGGCCAGTGGGAATATGTATGTCGTTGAGGAGGTTGATAAGGTTGAGGGGAAGCCAAGAGACACCGAAGATCGTCACCATGGCAATGAGCATCCTGTTCGTCCGCCTTTTCCTCTCACGATCGGCTTCTTCTTTCCTGCTCGTCTTCGCTCCGGGTTTACTCCGAGCCCTGTCGTTCAGTTTGACCGAGACTCGGACGTAGCAGAACGAGATGACCAGGAATGGAATGACGAACTGGAGTATCATTGTCATGCCTCCGAACGTCTGCAAGCATAAAAATCAAACCGTCAACAAACAAAACAAAACAAAAATATCATCGAAGTAGTTTTGCCCTCAATTAGAAAACTCGGAGAATAAAGGAACAAAATGGGAAACTGTATCTCTCTTCCCAACTCCCGAGATATACCCTTGAGCCCTCAGCCCAAGAGGGGATTACTCAGCAACAGGGGATTATGCTAAGATGTTGAAGCAACCAATCCCTTTCCACCCTGTTCCATGAAATCCGTTGTATCCGGCCAGAAATCAACTGGACAAATTGAAAAATGCTATCGAAATACGCTGCAGGTCGATTTTGTTTGTTCGTGACAACTTGGCATTTACGCCAGAAACGAAGTTTTGAAAACAAAGTCTTTCCACGAGATACCCTAATTCACGAAAGACGTCTGATTGTCGATCGTTAAACGGGATTCTTCGGCCAAATGGGAGTATTTACACAACCAGTTTACGACAGGCTTATACTTAAACATTTTTAAAACAAAATATATTCTCTTTAAACAGAAAATTACTATTCCTAAACAAAACCGTTTAATTTAACGTCGAATTATATCGTAAATTAAGCAATGTACACACAATCTATATAGAAGTAAACAGACATTATATGAAAAAGAAAAAGAAAGAAAGATAGATAGATAGATAGACAGATAGAGAGAGAGGGAGAGAGAGTGAGTAGTGGGAAGGGAATAGAAGAAGAGAGTAAAGTAAATGTGTGGTTAGAAGGAGAAAGTGAGAGTGATAGAGTGAGAAAGAGAGAGAGTGTGTAAGAGAGAGTGGGAGTGAAAGAGAGAGTGAGAGTGTGAGAAAGAGAGAGAGAGAGAAAGAGAGAGAGAGATAGAGTGAGAGAGAGAAGAGAGTGAGTGAGAGTTAAAAATAGGTCAGAAAAGTAGAAAGAACGAGAGAGGGAGTACATGGTGAGAGAGAGAGAATGAAAGATTGAGAGATAGATAGATATGGAAAATGTGAGAGAAATAGAGATAGAGAGCAAGAGAGATAGGATTTTGTGAATTTAATAAAGATCGTATGTGTGAGTGAGGAATTAATAGAAAATGAGGGGAAAAGATAAAAAGTGTAGGAGTAATGTATGATAAAAACGTCAGAGGTAACGGAACTTATTATGAGAAGAAAAATTCACGAGTTTATTGAAAAATGTATGAGAAAGGCCTTAAATTTACGTCATGCTTATCCAATATTATTAACATTATATTAACTATGATAAACATCAACATTGAATGAGAAGACGTTTTTTAATTAGCTGATTCACCGTTTCTGTAGATCTGTTAACGTTTTTTCCGCAGTACCGAAATATGATGAAATTTCTATTATTGTGTTTTTAGCTCATAGATCGCTAAAACATGACTTAAACAAATTGAAAAAGAAACTAATTAATGGAGGAACTAGAAGGAGGGAGAAAGAAAAAACGAACGAATTCAATAATTTTTAATGTAATAAATTCATTCTACTGTAGCCAAAGTACGATACATTATCTATCAATTCATATTAGTGGTATGACCTTTACCGATTACCCCCCCTCCCAATCACTACATCATCCTGTCATCATCATTTAATAATTCCTTCGGTTTCTGATACCAAAATATTCTGGCATTAACGTCAGCAGGGCTGCAACATGATGTATTTATTTGCCATGTAAATTATTTTTATTTTAACAGACAAGGATTAAGATACAGTATGTTTTCTTCATTTTGTTATTTAACAGTCCTAAAAATTGGATTAAGTAAAGTTAGAAAGTTTTACTTTTTTAAATTTAGTTTTCCTACAAGTCTTTTATGTAACTTTTATTAAATCGAATTAATTGTTTAATAATAACAATATTACAATTATTAATGTTATTAATTGAGCCGTCAGTTTTTAAGTGGTTTCTTATTTCAACAAAGACCTATGAATTTTGAATTTAACAGTTTGGCTTAATGCGATGCGGCCCCTCATACTTCACGGACGTCCGCCAGGTCCAGGAAATATTCATTAAAGTGAAATGGCAAGGGAATATTTATTACATAAATTATCAAACCTGAGGGAGTCGCAAGACCCGTGAATATTTCAATTAATGGTTGTTTTGAACCCTGAAATCCCACTACGCTCTAAAAGAGAAAAACAACGTAAATAATGAGTAAACATCCCTTCGAGGATATTTAGATCATATTAACACCTAAACTTTTGTCCATTCTATTTTAGTCCAAGTATGAAAAATTATTCCAGGATATTATGGAGTTTGCCAAATTGTGACTTGAGAGGCCCTGAGGTTATTTTGAGTTTAAAGGACAGTGAGTGATTTTCTTCTTCTTTTAAACAGTTCAATGGTTCCGGTAAAATTACGTCGTCAGTTTGAGCATACACACCCAGAACCCCGGGAGAAACTAACTTATATTTTTATGAGGAAGCGCACAGAACTAGCTGTTCGTTAAATCTTCATTAAAACTCATCTAAAAAGTGTTAATGAAAACTAACTAAAAGCGTCATACTTGATAAGTTATCGGGTAGCACAGCTCACACCATGGCTGAAAACCTCATAATACCGTGTGCTAACCTTGCATCGTTGACGAAAAAGCAGTAATACTTACATACTCAGGATGTTTCGAGGAGGATCTTCTTTTGTGCAAACCTTAATCTGCGAATGCAACAGACACCAAAATATTACGTCTATTGAACCATTTTTTTTTTTCAAATAAACAAAATTCCATGGTCTAATGACATTGACGTGTGCACAGATGGTGAAAAAGCTAAGACTGATCGAATGATCGGCTTAATTACAAAAATAAAAGATAAATCGAACGATTCCAGCAGCAGTTGTTGTGTTCTCCTCAGACAAGCTTTAAACATAAAACAAATACCAGTTTCTTTTAAGAAAGTTTTGGATGAGTCTGTTCAAATTACTAATTATATCGCGGCCATTAAAGTTAGGACTTTTCACAATAATATGTGACGATATGAGAATCATTCATCATTCCTTGCTTCTTTACACATGAGTGAGTGGCTGCCTCGTGGGAAAGCAGTTTTACGATTATAGGAATTCTGAAGTCTTATCTCGGTTGATGTACAATGTTAAATTGGCAACCTTTTTCGAGATAAAAAATGGCGATAGTGCTGGAGTATTTATCAGATATTTTATTGAAAATGAATGAGATGAGTCTTTTTTTGCAAAGCAAGAGTATCACAACTTTTGATGTTAATAACAAAGTTCGCGTCTTTAAAAGAAAAATCCAGTTTTGTGTTGAATCTGTAGAAGGAAGAGGTAAAGGGTTTTCCTGTGTTAAATGATCTTTTAAAAGAAACCAAACTGTAGCTTACGAACAGCACGTTGATTGCTGCAGTATGTGAACACTTTCAAAGTAAGGAGATGTCCTTTGAGCACTACTTCCCAGCAGAACGAGATCAATGCTGCACGGCAATGAATGGGTGGTCAAACCCATGGGTGGTTTCCTTTTACGACAAAGCGAACCAGTCTATTTTCAAATGAATACGAATGTTTGACAGGACATTATTTCAGACTCCATGTTGAAATGTACACTATTCCATAATTAACCTCTCGGCTCCGTATAGAAAACAAAAAATTTCAACACTTCTTTGAACAAGTAAAGCTTTTACCTCTTTCATTTGCCCCAACTTGCCTCTACCAATCAGGATTTTCCATCTATGGCATTTGTTCCACCGAAAGTAAATAGTGAAACTGTCTAGATGCTGAACCCGACATTTGGCTGTAGCTCTAGCAAAAATTATACCCAAATTATCCAAATTATGCAGGCTAAACCAACTCACTTTTCACTATAATTTATTAATCATTAATGTTAAAATTATTTTTTAATTTGGCTCGAATTTGAACTACCTATGATTCTGTTCTGTCCAATTTGATTTTGGTGTTCCGGATTTTGTAAATAAAATTAATTGTGTCAATCTTGTTGTGTGGACATCAGTTTGTGTTCAAATTGATATTCCACTTCATCACCTAATTAAGAATGGTCTGCTTAATTTATAAAACTTTAGTTGACTACATACTATACTATAAGTAGCTAACTTTATATATTTCTCTGCGAGAGAGGGGTCCGCCTTCGATTTTGTTCTGTGAAAAGTGTCTGCTGGCTAAAAAGTTTAGGAAGCCTTTCTATATATAATGATATGGGAACAAAATATGTTCATTAAGTTTTATAGGTTAATTTCGAAGTAAAATTTTACCTTTAGAGAAATTTAGCACTCTTTTTTCCATAAAATGTAGGATATAAAAATGAAAAGATGTTTGGTGGTTTGACATTAGAAAAATGTGAACTATTTATTTGTTTGTTCCATATAGAACCATATATTTTGCATTTACATATTACCTGTTCGGTTTATTTGCACATTTCTGCAGAAACACTCTATTTTTCTTAAAACATACATACTTTTTTCAAAGCGTTTTACAAAATGAAATTTAATTTAATAAATTTTATTATCCGTCAAACGTTTCCCAGCAGTGGACAATTTATGATAAATTGAAATCGTCGTAGATCATTGAAAGTGCCAGACCGGAAATTCAACCGAGATTCAAGTACATAACACATGAGTTTCGGGCCCCAAGCTAACGCCATATAAATCGTTCTGTAACTTGAAGTAAACCACATACATTTGCATCAGCTAAATTGTTCAAGAATTGCAATTTGTTTGGAATAGCAACACAGGAGAAATTAAATATATAACTGTATGTGACTCTGGAGTTCGACTAAAATCCATTTGGGAAACATATATGCACCCTCTTTTACGATCATGTATATACATAAAACTTTCATTGCGGGCTTCCAGCTCCCTGGAAACTAGATTTGTTTATTATAAAACCCAAGGACAATTTATTTATCAAAACAATTATTAAAGGTTTACACTATCATATTTCAGTTACTGTAACATACTTAACAACACAAAAAATATTTAATAATTACCTTTGGTTGTGGTTTTACCAAACAAAAGCAATACGAAACACTCTCTCAATACAATTATTTTATCGGCAA